TGCACTTCAGCCCGGGCGACAGAGTGAGACTGTCTCAATTAAAAAAAAAAAAAAAGAACCCAAAACAAAAAAAAGACAGACTAAATGTGGCCAGATCATGCAGCCTCTTCAGGCCATGACAAGGAGTTTGGATTTTATTCTGAAGTCACTGAGAAGCCATCTCGGAACAATTCAAAATAACTTTAGGATCTCAAAAGATATTATCTTAATAACATCTGGTAAATTAGAGATGCGGTCTCCCCATGTTGTTCCCAGCTCAAGTGATCCTCCCGCCCTGGCCTCCCAGAGTGCTGGGATTATGGGTGGAAGCCACTGTGCCTGGCTAAGAGACTTACCCATGGTCACACAGCTAAGACATATCACAGAAGGGGCTTAGCTACAATGAAAGAGAGGTGCAATTTTTATTAAAACCTCACAATGTTATAACGACCAATATAAAAGCATAACTGAAAACTTTTCATTTGTACAGAACAGCATGAAAATGTGGACTTTTGTACCACGAAATACATATGTCGTAGCACGGTCATGCGTACATTTTGGTGGCTGGGCGCCAAGGGCCTGGGGCACAGGCTGGCTCCGTCTGTGGAGCAAATGCCTCTTTCTCAGGCAGCTCAAAGGCGGGGCTGAGAGGCCAGGCTCCGGTCGGAAAGCTGGCTGAGGGGAACACTAGTATCCTCAGGTCACTTCCTGCACCAGACTCCTCGGGCCAGCCCAGGCCACAGGCCATGTCCACGCCGGCACCAAGTCACCTGGGCAGCGGGCGGCCTGCCCTCTCTGGGGCCTGGGCCTCTGGCGAGTGATGTGGCTCCCCACAGGGGCAGAACCCCATGCCAGCATTCCCGTGGGGCCACCCAATATCCCTGTCTCACCTCAGCCCTCTCCACTCCATGGACCCTTTGGAGACAGCACGGGTGGGTGAGGAACAGACAGCCCAGGGGCGCCACATGGCCAGGTCACCCTGAGTGGCTGCTATGTCTGGATGGTCACTGTTCGGGCCACCCGGGGTTGGGGGAAGCCTCAAACACCTGCCTCGGGGGAGCGGTGGGGTCCTGGGGGAGGTACCACGAGAGAAACCAAAGCTCTCCCAGCCCCTGGCTGCCTGGGCCCCTCGGGCCTACACTGGGCATTGGAACAGGCCCCGGGAGAAGGGCTTGGTGGAGATCCAAGCCCTTGGTGGAGGCTGGAATGTCAGCCTCTGAGGGTGATGGCCGTTCAGGGTCACAGAAAGGAGGTGTCCACCCTGGGGGAGGAGGTGCTGAGGGGAACTGACTAGAGACGGCACAGAATCCCAGTTTTGAAAGAATCAAGATGGAGGACACTGAGAAGTCCTGGGCGCCCTTCAAGGACTCCCACCTCCCAGAGAGCAGGTCTGGGGGTCAGGGAGGGCACAGAATGGGCCAACGGGGTGCAGGGCACCAGCTCTGGGCCCAGACATCACAAGTTCAAATCTCAGCTCCACCACTTTCTGCGTGGGGCAACCCTCAGTGACTCAGTTTCCTCATCTGTAAAACAGGAACAATGACCACACCCTCTTCACAGGGTGGGGTGTGTGGCGACTGCAGAGTCAGCCCCAACAGCAACGGTGATGGTCATCATTCTGGAAGGGCCCCTCCAGCTCACACCCTGGAGCAGCCACAGCCCCGGAGCCTTCAGGTCTGCACACGCATGCGCACACTTGGCTGCACCGCCTCCCCCAGACAAAGCCCTCGTGGGGCCAAGAACAACACACCGGGGTTGCTGAATGACTCACCCACCCCTGGCCAGGACGCGCTTCCTGGAACAAGTCACCACAGGTAGGTCTAGGGGGCTCTCCAAGGCTTAGCAAGGCCCAGTGTGGCAGAGAGGAGAGGATGCAGGTCCCAGCATGCCCCAGCCACACCCCGGGGGGGATGCCACAACCCTGCAGCAGGGGTGGTGGGGGGACCTCAGTTTCAGAGCTCGACAGGCCTGGATTCCAAACCCAGCAGTGACCCTGGATAGGTGATTCTCCGTCTCCAAGCCTCAGTCTCTGCCTCTGTAAATGGGAACACTAGCACCAACCTCATGGGGATGACTGTGCCGACTGCAAGAAGTGTATTAAATGACAGGCAGGACCCACTGTTACGATACTCGGGTCCTAACAGGACACGGACAGCCAAGGTCCTTTCTGCCCTGATGTGTCTTTACAAAAAAAAAAAAAAAAATTTTTTTTTTTAATTTTCAGAGAGCGGGTCTTGTTCTGTTGTCCAGGCTAGAGTGTAGTGGCATGATCAAGGTTCATTGCAGCCTCAAACTCCTAGGCTCAAGTGATCCTCCTACCTCAGCCTCCTGAGTAGCTAGGGCCACAGGTGCATGCCATCACACTTGGATAATTTATTGTAGAGATGAGGTCTTGCTTTGTTGCCCAGGTTGGTCTTGAACTCAAGCAATCCTCCCACCTTGGCCCCCCAAAGTGGTGGGATTATAGCTATGAGCTACCACATCTGGCCCCTAATGTGCTTTTTTTTGTGAGACAAAGTCTCACTCTGTTACCTAGGCTGGGTGCAGTCATGCAATCTCGGCTCACCGAAACCTCCACCTCCCAGGCTAGGCTCAAGTGATCCACCCACTCAGCCTCCTGAGTAACTGAGACCACAGGCATGCGCCACCATGCCCAGCTAACTTTTCTATTTTTTGTAGAAATGGGGTTTTGCCATCTTTCCCAGTCTAGTCTCGAACTCCTGGGCTCAAGTGAACCACCTGCCTTGGCCTCCCAAAGTGCTGGTATTACAGGCATAAGCCAGGGTGCCCGGCCCCAAATGTGCTTTTAAAGCCATCAGTGGGAAAAGTCACTCAGGAATGGTCACCGTAAGGTGAGGGAGAGGACAAAGGATGCAGCTCATGACTTCATTGTCTTTGGAAAGCAAAGAAATGGAGTTTGTCTGAAGAGGGGCAATCCCAGAGGGCTTCTCACAGGAGGTGTCTTTAACCTGGGCTCTGAAAGATCAAGAGGAGTTCCTCGACCATGAAATCTGAGAGGCCACTGTCCAGCTGTTACAAGCTTGGGCAAACCACTCATCTGGAAGCAGGCAGGTGAGTAGCACGTGCCTCCGGCAGGTACAAGGAGGCCAGGAGCCTGTGACAGGAAAGCACATGCCCTATCAGGCATTTCAAGTCACACTGTTTAAATATATCACCTGGCCAAATAGAATGAGTTGACATGGGCCAAATTCTGCCCACGGGCAGAACCCTGACACTTTCTGAATTTTCATTTCCTCACCTGTTAAATGGAGATACTATTAATACCCAGCACACAAGATGGCTGGGAAAGGTAAATGAATCACTGCATATAAAATGCCTAACGCAGAGCCTGGAACCTTGTTAGCACTCAACAAGGCCAGGCGTGGTAGCTCATGCCTGTAATCTCAGCACTTTGGGAAGTCAAGGCAGGAAGATCACTGAAGTCCAAGAGATGGAGACCAGTCTGGGCAGCAAAGCGAGCCTCTGTCTCTACAAAAATAAAAATTAGCGGCCGGGCGCGGTGGCTCACGCCTGTAATCCCAGCACTTTGGGAGGCCGAGATGGGTGGATCACGAAGTCAGGAGATCGAGACCATCCTGGCTAACACGGTGAAACTCCGTCTCTACTAAAATACAAAAAAAAAAAAAAATTAGCTGAGCGTGGTGGCGGCCTGTAGTCCCAGGTACTCGGGAGGCTGAGACAGGAGAATGGCGTGAACCCGGGAGGCGGAGCTTGCAATGAGCCGAGATGGCGCCACTGCACTCCAGCCTAGGTGACAGAGCGAGACTCCGTCTCAAAAAAAATAGAAAATAAAAATAAAATAAAAAATTAGCCAGGTGTGGTGGTGCATGCCTGCAGCCCCAACTACTTGGGAGGCCAAGGTGGGAGGATCACTTGAGCCCAGGAGTTCCAGGCTGCGATGAGTTAGGATCACGCCTGCATTCCAGCCTGGGTGGCAGAGTGAGATCCTATCTCAAAAACAAAAAGCATTCACTAATTGGGCTGTTGTGATAAAGTGGAGACAAGGTGTGGACAGGCAGGAACAGTGGAGACAGGGCAGTAGAGGGGATACCTGCAGGCAGAGCCCAAGAAGCCACAAGAGGCCCCACTAGGTGACACCTTTCCTGTGAAGGGCAAGTCACCAGAAATAGGCACTCCAGGCCCTGACCTCAGACAAGTCCCCTTCTCTCCTTCCCCGAGCCTCCATCTTCTCAACTATAAAATGAAGGTGATTAGCCAGGCATGGTGGCCCATGCCTGTAATCCCAGCACTTTGGGAGGCCAAGGCAGGTGGATTACTTATATTCAGGACTTCAAGACCAGCCTGGCCAACATGGTGAAACCCCATCTCTACTAAAAATACAAAAATTAGCTGAGCATGGTGGCACGCACCTGTAATCCCAGCTATTTGGGAGGCTGAGGTAGGAGAATCACTCGAACCCAGGAGGCGAAGGTTGCAGTGAGCTGAGATCACGCCACTGCACTCCAGCCTGGGTGACAGAGTGAGACCCTATTTCAAAACAAAACAAAAGACACATGATCCTTCCTTCCTTGCGGGGCCATGGAGAGGATCCCAGGACGACAGAGGAGAGATGAGGAAGAGAACGGCCTTTGTAGGCCACAAACCCATCCCCCTTCCCCTGCTCCTTGAGGCTGACTCCTGCCTCAGAAAGGGGAACCTGGCCAGAATTCTGGATGTCATCCTGGTCACTGTCCCTAAGTGTGCAAGGATGGGCAGGAGGGGAGGACAGGAGCTGTTTCTGCTCACCACAGTAACCTCAGATGGCACTCAGCAAACAGTAGGTGCCCAATAAATGGTGGATGAGCACACAAACCATCACAGCCCGGGGCTCACAGGGGACAGAGAAAGGCTGAGGTGCCTGGCCGCCTGTACCCGTTTCCTGTCTGCAGAAGTGAAATGTGCCCCCTGAACGTGGCTTCCTGCACGCTCCTCCCCACACTGGGGTCTGCAGAGGGAAGGGGGAGCAGCCCTTCCCTCACTTCTTGGGTCAGGATACTCACGTTCCTGAAGGAGGGGAGCCCTGCAGATCCCAGCCACCTCCGCAGGGCCTGCGGGAAGGCCCCATGGTCCCGCTCAGCCTGAAGCACGTCCGCTTCCAGGAAGGCAACATGGTGTCCGACCATCTTGACGAAGGCCTGAGAGACACGGAGAGGCCATGATGCCACATCTGTGCAGGCTGGAGCCCATTCCTGGCCACACTTCCTAGGCCAGTGGGGACTCCAGGCCTTTCATCACTACGACCAGCCTCCCTCCAACGGGGCTCCGGAGCCACAAGGCGGCAGGGCCTGCTTCGCTGGAGGGGCACCTGCAGAAACCCTGACAACTGTCACAGCTCCTGCTGGTGGCCTCTTGCCTTCTCCCCAATGGGACGCTGTTCTTAGCCTCCATTTTACAGGGGAGGGAAATCAAGGCTCAGAGAGGCTGGCTCACCTGCTCAAAGTCACGAAGCCAGGAAGTGCCGGGGGCCAGGGGGGCGGCAGGGTCTCAGGGCACATTCATCAGATTTCAAAGCCTTTTTTGTTTAAAGTTGATTTTATAGAAATAGCCCAAATGCTTATTTATTTGTACTTTTCATCTATGTTAAGGACACACAAGCGCTCATTTTAATAGTGGATGTGCTGTGTATTCGAACTCAGAAGCCACCAAAGGCCTAGCAGGAAACAAGCAGGTAAAGGGGGCCTAATGGGAAGCAGGGTCAACCAGAAAGCTGAGTCCAGGCCCACAGGAACCACTCAGCTCCAGGCCTCAAGTGCAGAGCTGCCAGTTTCAAGAATAAAGGGCACAGTGGCTCACGCCTGTAATCTCAGCACTTTAGGAGGCTAAGGTGGGTAGATCACCTGAGGTCAGGAGTTCAAGACCAGCCTGGCCAACATGGTGAAACCCCGTCTCTGCTAAAAATATAAAAAGTAGCTGGGCATGGTGGCAGGTGCCTGTAATCCCAACTACTTGGGAGACTGAGACAGGAGAATCACTTGAACCTGGGAGGTGGAGGTTGCAGTGAGCTGAGATCACGCCATTGCACTCCAGCCTGGGCGATAAGAGTGAAACTCCGTCTCAAAAAAATAAATTAAATTAAAATAAACAAAAAAAAAAGAATTCTGGCTGGGCATGGTACCTTATGCCTATAATCTCAATACTTTGGGAAGCTAAAGCCAGGGACGGTCACTTGAAGCCAGGAATTTAAGACCAGCCTGGGCAACATGGTAAAACCGTATCTCTACAAAAAATTGAAAAATTTGCCAGGCATGGTGGCATGTGCCTGTAGCTTCAGCTACTCAGGACACTGAAGCAGGAGAATCACTTGAGCCCAGGAGTTCAAGGCTGCAGTGAGCCATGATCAGATTATCTTGATTAGAATCCAAATTCTACCTCTCAGTAGTTGTGTGCCTTTCGGCACGTTACTTAACTTCTATTAGCCTCAATTTTATTATCTGAAAAATGGGGATTAAAAACAATATCAACCTTGGCCAGGTGGAGTAGCTCTCATGCCTATAATCCCAGCACTTTGGGAGGCCAAGGCGGGCTGATCACTTGAGGCCAGGAGTTCGAGACCAGCCTGGCTGGCATGGCAAAACCCCATCTCTATTAAAAATACAAAAAAAATGGGCCGGGCGCGGTGGCTCAAGCCTGTAATCCCAGCACTTTGGGAGGCCGAGACAGGTGGATCATGAGGTCAGGAGATCGAGACCATCCTGGCTAATATGGTGAAACCTCGTCTCCACTAAAAAATACAAAAAACTAGCCGGGTGAGGTGGCGGGCGCCTGTAGCCCCAGCTACTCGGGAGGCTGAGGCAGGAGAATGGCGTAAACCCGGGAGGTGGAGTTTGCAGTGAGCTGAGATCTGGCCACTGCACTCCAGCCTGGGCGACAGAGCGAGACTCCGTCTCAAAAAAAAAAAACAAAAAAAAAACAAAAAAAATTAGCTGGGTGTGGTGGCACATGCCTGTATTCCCAGCTACTCGGGTGGCTAAGGCATGAGAATTACTTGAACCCAGGAGGCAGAGGTTGCAGTGAGCTGAGATCGGGACACTGCATTCCAGCCTGGGGAACAGGGCAAGATTCCATTTCAAAAACCAGAAACAAAAACACTAACCTTATTCAACAATTAGAGTGCTTAGCACATATTAAGAGCCCATTAAATTTCAGACACTATCGTTTTAAAAAGCACATTCAGATTTCATGAAAAATATCCAGTTTAATTCAACGTTAGCAATAAATCTACACTTTTAAAAAAATGCTGTGCAGGCCCAGTAAAATGTAACTCACCCATTCGTCACCTCTGGTGTGTGTCTTTTCACACTGTCTCTGTGCTCAGTACATGTGTGGGCACATGTTAGTGTGCGTGTGCATGTGTGTACATGGCTAAAGGCAGCAGAGGCGGGGACTACAGTGCCATCTCAGACAAAGCAGTACCTCTGTGGCCTGCTTTGTTCCATTAGCCAAACAGAAAAGATTTTTCTCATACCAGGAACAGGAATGAGGACACCTCAGTGCTGGCTGCTTCTGGGAAAGCCTCTCCTTCAATAATACCATGAAATGAAATGCAGTCCGCCCAAGACCCGTCAGGCCTCCTGCCATCCAGCCCTACCTTCCCTCCTCCCTCCACACGCTTCCCTTTGGTTCCTTTCAAGTGCCCAGCCTCACCCCACAGGCCTCTGCACCTGCACTCCCTGCCTATAGCACCTGCTCTCCTTTCTCCATGGGGTGTGGCCCTGCTTGTGTTTTGTTTTGTTTTGTTTTTAAGATGGAGTCTCACTGTCACCCAGGCTGGAGTGCAATAGCATGATCTTGGCTTGTTGCAACCTCTGCCTCCAGATTCAAGCAATTCTCCTGCCTCAGCCTCCCGAGTAGCTGGGATTACAGGTGAGCACCACCATGTCCAGCTAATTTTGTATTTTTAGTAGAGACAGGGTTTCTCCATGTTGGTCAGGCTGATCTCAAACTCCAGATCTCAGGTGATTCGCCCACCTCGGCCTCCCAAAGTTCTGGGATTACAGGCGTGAGCCACTGCGCCCCGTCTTAACGTTGTATTTTTAATAAAGATGGTGTTTCACCATGTTGGCCAGGCTGGTCTCGAACTCCTGACCCCAGGTGTTCTGCCTGACTCAGCCTCCCAAAGTGCCGGGATTACAGGCGTGAGCCACCGCGCTCAGTCTGTCTTTCGGGCTTCCATCTAACTGTCCCTGAGCACCTGATGTCATACAGCCCCAGCAGGCACTCTAGAGCCACCCAGATTCCTGGTCTTCACAGCCCTCATTGCCCTCTGAAATTCTTATCTATTCACAGTCCACGCCCTTTAGGATGTGGGTTCTAAAAGAGAAGCTGCTGAGTCAGCACTGCTCACAGGTCAAGACCAGAGCCTGGTCCAGGAGACAGGGCCCATATGGATGGTGGATGCATAAATGCACACGTGCATGAATGAATGAGTGAATGAGTGAGTGTATCCTTAGCAAAACGACATTGAGTGAACCCAAGATGGAGGCTTCTCTTGTGCTGCTGCCGCCCTAGGGCTCTGGCTGCAGCAGGGCTGAAAGGCTGAATCAGCCACGTCGTGTGTGTGTGTGTGTGTGTGTGTGTGTGTGTATGTGCAGATGTGTGCGTGTATGTGTGTGTGTGTATAGAGGTGGGTGGGTGGGAAATGGGCCAGGAAGCATCTGACAAGGGCTCCAGCCTCAGAGGCCTGGCTCAGCCCGCACATATGGTTGTAAAACTCAGAAGAAAGTCCCAACTCCCCTTCCTCCAGCCGATTCCAATTTTATGCTCCCTGCGTTAATACCAATCTGGTGGAGAGTGTGAGGCGAAGCTGAGGAATGTGCGCTCGCGACGTCTGAACTGTCTCCAAAATGCCTGCCAGTGAGGCCAGCCCGGCCAAGCCACAGCCAGAGAGGCGGAAACCTGGGCCAGGGCAGCCCCGACTCCGGGCAGAGGAGACACACATGTCCACCCACACAGCCAGGCTGTGGTGGCTGCAGGTGAGCGAGAGGGCTCACCGCTAATCTTAGCCACCCTGAGGGCTGGGTGCAGGGAGCACAATTGATTTCTGCATATTTTCCTCTTCAATAAAGATACGCTACTTTTATAATCAGTTGAGAGGGAGGGAAGGAGGAAAGCCTCATTGTTTAAAAATATATTGGCAAGTATTGAGGAATTTGAACACTTTTATCCCCCCTGGACACAGGGGTCTTGCCATGTTGCCCAGGCTGATCTTGAACTCCTGGGCTCAAGTGATCCTCCCACTTCGGCCTCCCAAAGTGCTGGGATTACAGGCCGAGCCACTATGCCTGGAGAATTTGAACACTTCCACCAAAGAGTTCCCAGCTTCACAGCATGATTCCTGTACAGAAAGGTGTGTTCACATCCAGCAGGGAGGAACATAAACTTTGCAACCCCAGCTCTACCACTTCCCACCTGTGTGAACTCAGGAGAGTCACTTCTCATCTCTGTGCCTCAGCGGCTTTTTCTGTAAAATGAGACTAATAGCAGGACCTTGCTCCTGGGGTTGCTGTGGAGTTGAAGTGAGTTCCTATGTGTAAAGCACTCATAGTGCCTCGCCTGTAGTAGGTACTCAAAAATATTAGTTTTTGTTGGCTGGGCATGGTGGCTCATGCCTGTAATCTTGGCACTTTGAGAGGCCAAAGTGGGCAGATTGCTTGACCCGGGAGTTCAAGATGAGCCTGAGCAACATGGCAAAATTCCATCTCTACAGAAAATACAAAAAATTGTGGCCGGGCGCGGTGGCTCACGCCTGTAATCCCAGCACTTTGGGAGGCTGAGGCAGGCGGATCACAAGGTCAGGAGATCGAGACCACGGTGAAACTCCGTCTCTACTTAAAAAATACAAAAAGTTAGCCGGGCACAGTGGCAGGTGCCTATAGTCCAAGCTACTCGGGAGACTGAGGCAGGAGAATGTCGTGAACCCGGAAGGCAGAGCTTGCAGTGAGCCGAGACTGTGCCACTGCACTCCAGCCTGGGCGACTGAGCGAGACTCCGTCTCAAAAAAAAAAAAAAAAAAAAAATTAGCTGGGCGTGGTGGTACACGCCTGTAGTCCCAAGCTATTCAGGAGGCTGAGGTGGGAGGATCGGTTGAGGCCAGGAAGTGTGACTGCACTACTGCACTCCAGCCTGGATGACAGAG